ATATATAACAGTATATATGTATGTAGAGTTATTCTATATATTTATTTTGGTTTGTCCCCCCTGGCATTCATTGTGGACAACAAGGTAAGAGTTTCATTGTTCAGAGAACAAAGAGGTGGTCCACCATGAAGGAAAAGACGAACAAATCCTATAAATTAGGAAGTTTTCTTTGTCTAGATCAGTCAGCGCGGGGTCCGGACTGCCTTGACTCAAAGGTTTATGAAATGTCAGCTGTTTTTGGGGCATAAAATAAACCTTTTAAAACTTGCATCCTACTCTCTCATCATTTGAAACGTGAGTTTTGGGTGATTTTTGCATTGGAACTAGGATTTCACTCTAACTTTTCAGAAAACTAAAACTAAATAATTGTACTTGGAAAAAATACACAACAGCCTCCTCCACGGCCCGACAGTCTGGCTAATAAAAGAGTAGCCATACACAGTTCTACAAAACCAAAAACCAACAAACAGACAAGTAGAACAATTTGTTAGTTATTGAATGAACATTAAATAATGCCATTCACATCAGGGCAGAGGATTGGGTACTCATAACAGCGGTCCGTTTCAGATGATGGAGAAATTGGGGTTTAGATCCACAAAAATCAAGTAGCCCATCAACAGAAGGACAAAACATCAATGAGTCCGAAGATTCTGGAGAAACAGACCAGAGGTAGCAGCCCAGGTCCAGGTACAATATATCCAGGTTGGGATTTGATTGGAATATCTCCATCAGCCCAAAAACCAAAACAGCAGGTGAATTGAGTTTTATGGACCCCACGACTCCATGCTTCCAAAAACAGTCTGATCCAAAGCCAGAGGAGAATGAAGACCAGTTGGTAGGTCCAGTCCTTATTTAGAAGTTCTGCCACAAATAATTTGACCTAATAGTTCAGACAACATCACAGAAGTTTTAATGTTTCTGTAAATGGCATCATGTCCGATACCACCAGTCTGACTTGTGGTGTACCCCAGGGTTCTGTTTTGGGACCCATTCTGTTTATTCTCCCCCTTGGACAGGTAATCCAGAAATTCAGAAATGTGCAATTTCAGCTCTATGCTGATGATATCCAACTTTATTGCTCATTTAAAGAAAATGAGTTTCATAAATTAAAGACCCTAACAAATTGTTTAGCTAGCATCAAACAGTGGTTAAGCAACAATTATCTACAACTTAACACTGATAAAACCAAAACTCTGATTATTGCGCCGGAAAATAAGGTTACTCAGATTGAACAGTTTATTGGTGTCTTAGGTCCATCTGTTCAGTCCATTCTCAGAAACTTGGGTGTCATTTTTGATTCAGCAACGTCACTGAAACATGCAAAACAACTGACCAGACACTGTTACTTTCACCTTAGGAACATCTCAAAATTGTAACATTTCCTGTCAAAAGCTGAACTTGAAATGGTCATTCATGCATTTATTTCTTCTCGTTTGGACTATTGTAACAGCCGGTTCACTTGTTTAAACAAGAAGGAGTTAGACCGTCTTCAGGTTGTCCAGAACTCGGCTGCTCGACTGTTAACTAGCATAAACAAACATGATCACATCACACCTGTTTTGGCTTCTCTTCACTGGCTCCCAGTTCATTTTAGAATTCATTTTAAATTTCTGGTTTTAATTTTTAGAGCCTTTCATGGTCAAGCCCCATCATAATTCTCAGATTTGATCCAGCTTCACACACCATCTCGCAGTTTGAGTTCATCAGGTCAGTTGTTGGAGGTACCCTGCACACATTTTAAATCCCGAGGGGATCGGTCTTTCCAAGCTGTTGCACCTAGGCTCTGGAATGCACTGCCTTAACTTATACACAGCCTTGATTCTATTG